GTGCAAGCCTTTCAAGATTCACTCTTTGAAGCTATTTGATTTAATACATGCTATAAATCATGTAAAATATCTTCAGGCATCAAATGGTGCAACTAAAATAGCTAAAATACACATATTTGCAAACGATCGCACGTGCTCCAACTAAAATATTAAATGTATTTAAACAAGGTTCGAGAATGTTGCGCGGGCTAATTAGGCCACCTTGTCTATAGGATAGGGTCGTAAGTCCCACTTCACCAGTCTGATCCTTCTCCTTGTAAGGGCTAGAGTTGATGAGTCTAATAAGATCTAATAAGTGTTTGAATCCTGATATAAGAATTTACATGTTTAAAACACCTCGTCCTCCTCACAAAGACTGGATTTACGAGTCTGGTAATTTTAGAATTAATAACCAAATAATATAGATAAAAATTTACAATGTCAAATCACCTAATTTAATCCTCCTACTTATAAGGATAGAAGTTGACATGACTTATATTCTAAAAAAATGATTTAATTTAAGCCAATGAAACTAAATACCACCACTTCAAATATAAAGTTTTAAATGCTTAAAAACCTCGATGATGGTCTTGTTGATTGAATATTTCAAACAAATGGCCTATTTTTAAAATTTAATTTCAAAATCATTTTGAATAAATATAAATGATATATACAAACTCGATCCTTTGTAAGCAAAATAAAGTTAACAAGGTTCATATACAATCATACTAAATATGATCCTTAAAACGTAAGATGTAAAGTTGACAGAGTTCAAATCAAGCAACTATCTTCGATGATGGTCGTGTTGATCAAAGATTTCAAAAAGAGAAGTCAATAATTTTAATCAAGATTTTAAAGTAGTCAACTAAAATATTAAGTTATTCAAATCACTTAAAGCTAAAAGCAAAATCCATCCACCCTCCGCAACAATTTGTCGAAGATAACAAATTTCTAATTGACTTCAGCTCACAGAGAGCGAAAGTTATATCAAATGTATAATAGATTCACAATCAAAGCAGTTGCATGCCAATAAGAACGTGATCTGAGTCTTCTGTCCACGTGATTCTGCTGTCAAATGACACCACAAAGTCAGTTGTGACCAGAGCCCCTGACAGGGTGATTCCCGTCAAATGACTTAATTATAATACGGTTACGACCGCAACACATGTTCCCAACTGCCTTTTACGATTTGTGTTATAAATCGTAAGAGTGCAATTGATTGACAAAAAATCATCTATTAGCTAAAGTTGATTTAAATTTTTCCACTTAGACAAACATTCACCCCATATCTATAAAGATTTCTTGGACGACACAACTTAAAATTGCTGACAAGAATCCTTTTGTCAAGTTGGGTCAACTATCTCCTCCAACTAAGTAGATCAGGGACCATGACGACCTGAGATGACGGAACCATGGGATCTTGATCGGGTTTCGTCTTCATTCCTCGACCGTCTGCTTTAAGCTTCAAGTGGTTAATTATATACTTTAAATCCTAAGTCTATTGTTATTATATATTGAATTTTCAATATTTAATGACTAGCCTTAAAAGAAATTGTTTTCGCGTAATTGAGAGGGGTAATTAACCATAGGGGCTTGCGCCCATGAGAAACCCCAGATCAAAAAATCCTTGCTAAATGAGGGTGAAATCTCTAGGTAGTGTTTTATTTACAATCCAATTTGCATTCTGAAAATTTGACCCTCCAAAATTCTCTCAACAAATAAAAAATAAAATAATGCTGAGAGTTGTCCTGGGGAGCGATCGTGAATTTTCGGAGCCCACAACAATATGGTGATTGAGTTTTATACAAATCAATGATCGAAAAAAGGTCATCAATGGTGCCTTCAAGGTTCATATGCTCCTTGGGGTTCATATGATAATGCTACAAATTAGAGAGACTCAAAACCAGAAATCAAGCCAATACAACGAGGGGACTGCAACAAAAATATCAACATATCATCAACTTCAGTTTGGACTACAACAAAAGTGGGGTAATGGGTGTTCACATTACAACATTACTCTACTTCAATTTTGCATTAAATTTTGCCAAGTATAATGGCAGCAAGAGACAGATCAATGGCTTGAGTTATGTTTGTTGGTCATGTTTGAAAGTTTAAGTAAGCAAAATAATATTCTTATTATGTCATTGAAATGTATTCTCTTTGTCCTCAGGCATGACATTGACATCATATTGTCGATGAAACAGGGGGTGACAGAGATTGCAAGTAGCTTTGTATGGACAAAAAATTTCAATTTAAAGAGAAATCAAACATGCCTTGTTTGTGCCCTCCATCCCCTGATCAAATTGATTTTTGAACATTTGAGGATGGTTCTACGTGGCTAGATTGAAAGTACTGATTAGACCTTTAGATGTTACCATCAATAATCATATGATATAACTTATTCGAGATGGTACAACAAATGAGGAAAATTGAGCGCCACTATATTATACAAAACCATTTTACCAACATCAATCATTTCATTAAGAATGTCAATAGGTCACCATCAATCACTTAAACGAATTCAATACAACCCAAAGTGCCCTAAAAGAGATCATCCATATAGTTGCTTCACATTGCAAAGTAATGTCGAGGGCGGCTACATCAACAGCGATGGACAGAGGAAGTTTTGCACAACGGTTTGGTTTTGTATCTACATATCTAACACTCAAAATTTGATATTTGCATTCATAATACCTTTATGCATAAAACTCTGCATTAAAAGTTGTATTCCACTTTTAAAAAATAATGACGTTGATATTCTCGATGTGAAGTTAATGATATAAGTAGCATGCATGTAAATATGAATGTTAAGGTGTTATATAAATAAAAACATAAGAGTTGTGTAGTATGTATAGCAGGAAAGACTCCTAACTGTTAGTCAATCCGCCTCTTAGTAGACTGAGAAGTCCGGGTCGGGTCCGAGACCAATACACATCTAGCGCCTAACATGCACAACAAGCCGAGGGAGAACTAAATGGACTAAACCAACCTCAGGGCCAAACGATGTCTTTATCGCCCATGCCAGCCCTGGGCAATGAACCATAACCCCATTCAATATGGTTCCTTCCGACCTCTCCTTTCTAAAAGGAGAGCAATAAGAGCACCCGGGAAGGAGGACTAAGAGCGAGGGAAGACAACATTCTCTAAGCTGGAACAAGCCCCGAAGGCTCCAATGATAGGCTCATTCTCTCAATTGACAAATCAGTTTCAGATAGGGCATTTAGATAGACCGAGTCCTCCCTTACTTAGAGTATAGTAGAGTAGTAGCGACACCCCGATTGCCATGGATGAACTGGCTTGACTTATAGCTTGAACGTGGCAATCTAGCTTCCATTGCTGGATCCAATCCTGCTCTAATATAGGGATGTTAGACCATTGCTTTAGCAGGAAGGGAACTTCGCAAAAAGACAGACTGAAACTAGCTAAAGAGTAACAAACTAGCTCGATGTCCATTTTTCGTTGTTTTACCGGGTTTCTAGGCTTTCTCAATTTCTTCCCAAGGATGACCCCATTAGTATTTTGCTTCCGGTTGAAGATAGGGATCTGCTCTTGCTCTTGCGTCTTCCCTTAGATCATGAAAGGAATTCGCCCGGAAAGAGTAGCTTCCGTTGTCTTGAGTAATGTGCTGCTGTTTTGAGTTTGGGTAAGCGAAGAGCGGGTGGTTCATGGGTGTGGAGCACCCACATCTAAGAAGTAGGATGTGAAGTAATGTGCTGTTGTTTTGTATGTAAATGCACTTTAAAAGTATTGCAATCATAAAAAAAGGAAAGTGTAGATTATAGTTGTCCCACCAAAAACAATATTAAAGAGGGGGCTATTGCATCAAATTCCTTGTTCTCAAATTTAGGCAACAATTGGTCTTGATTGGTTTATGTACATGCCGTTTGAGCTTAAAATTGCAAGGTTTTGGTGACTTTATTATTAACTTAATTATAAACTTTATTCTTTAATGATATTGAGAAAATAAAAAAAAAAATGGATGAATTATATAAATTATTAAAAATAACCAGGATTGTTTTCCACAAGGTCCTTGTCACTTACCTAGATTTGTAACTTCAATCTCAAGACAAATTTGGTGGCTTCTCCAAATCAAGAACGAAAAGGGGAACAATAGGGCAAAGGAACATAGAGAGTATATGACTTCTTCTTTGAGCAAAAAAAAAAAAAAAAAAAAAAAACAAAAAAAGAGATTGAAAAGGAGAGAGGGATGAAGAAATGAGTTATGAATAAAGAGGTATAGCATATGCACGAGAGAGATATTAAGTAACTCCTTTAGTAGGCTACTTTTGTTCTTGAACATTTGGTGAGAAAGGGATTATCCTTCTTTTCTCTTTGACAAGCTCCTTCAAAGTTTAACAAAATCTTCTAGATGCTTCTGATAAACTTTTAGAGGAGCTTTAGGTACTCCTATTATTTTGACTTATTTTATACATTTTTATAGTAGATTATTGTCACAAGAATGTAGTCCATGAAAACATCACATAAATTGGTTCTCTTGCCCTAATGGTTTTGTTTACTATTCCATACATATTTTTATGATGCTAAGTTGCTAACTTTGCTTGTCGAAGGTTGATTCTCTGCTTGACCTCCATATGTGTCTTGTTATATGAACTTTCCATGTGTTTTCATTCTTCAAAAAAAATGGGAGAGAAGAGATGATGAAACATGAAGATTTATATGCATGACCTCAACTTAATTAGGTTAGTGATATCCCTATGAAAGTTTTTTTTTTCCCTTCAGTAAACAAATGTGAAACGAAAGGAGCGTTTGAAATTCATCAATCCATAAAAAAAATTTATATAAGACAATCCCAGTTCACCACATATAACTAATTATATAAAGCAGAGTGATGTACAAGCATCTGAATTTCAAAGAATAAACAGCTTTGTCCACTAATAATGACTAAAAACAATTTGACAGTAATTAAAAGTTCAAATTTCTAGCAAACCAGCATCTATGTATGAAACTAAAAGGAAAATAAAAAATAGCTTTGCAACTCAGGCAAAAATTTGAAGGATTACCAGCATACTCTGGCGCAAGGTACCCAAAAGTTCCCGCAAGTCGCGTCTCCACAGAGCATCCTTTGCCATCTGCCAGCCTGACAAGCCCGAAGTCTGCAACCTTAGCCTTCATATCATCTCCAAGAAGAATGTTTGAGGGCTTCAAATCTCTATGAATAAAGCTCTGATGAGCAAGGCTGTGAAGATATTCCACCCCCCTTGCTACATCCAAAGCAATGCTCAACCTCTTCATCCACTCTAACGACTTCAAACCCTCTTTTCTCCAATCAAATAAGTGACGGCTCAAAGTTCCCTGTGGCATGTACTCATACACCAGGAGCCTCTCAGTCCCATCCAAACAATACCCAAGCAGTGAAACCAGATTACGATGCCTAACTTTGGTAAGAACTGCAATCTCGGACTTGAATTCATTCAAACCCTTTGTGCCCATCACACCAGATTCCATTCTTTTGACGGCTATCTTAGTGCCATCATGCAGCTCACCCTTGTACACAGTACCAAAACCTCCTCGTCCTAGGATGTTTTCTTCACTGAAGTTGTTGGTCACATTCCTCAGGACTTGGATGGAAATCATCAAATTCCCAGCTTCAACAACATGGACATCACTAGGTCCGCTGCTCGCCTGACTATAATTCTCACTTACTGCACCTGTATTGACACTAGATCCTGCCACTGTAATCTTCACCAAATCTGGGTCCGAGCCAGATTGTCTGGTTTGGATCACAGTGGTATTTGGACTCTGAACTCGGTTAAAATTTTGCTGTTTTCTCTTGTAATAACATACAGCCATGAAGGTGACGAGGGAAATTACACAAATCGCAGAGAGAACAGAGCCTACAATAATGCCCACAGGAATGGAGGTAGCCTTCCCTTTGCCACCAGGAAGTTCGCCGCTCTCTGAACCAGTGGGGACAGAACCATTTAGGGCAACTCCAGGAGGCCCGGAAACCGGAGTAAGAACATTGCTGCCTATGTTTGGGTTCCCTTGGGTTTTCAAAAGAACATGGTTTGAAAAGCTCGGAACTTTACCAGAGATTGAGTTGTTCGAAACGTCCAACTCAGAGAGATTAGCCAGGCCAGTCAGCGTTGACGGGATAGTGCCAATAAGATTGTTGTTAGAGAGCAAAAGCTTCTGCAGAGCCGGAAGCATCGCAAAGTCGGGCGAGATGGTGCCGTTCAAACCCATCTTTTGAAAGTTGATGACCGTAATATTTCCCTTACCGTCGCAAGTAACTCCCAGCCATTCGCCGCCGCAGGGGTCGTTCCCCTTCCAGTTCTCTGCGAATAGTGCCGGGTAGTCTAAAGATTTAGCAATGTCAAGCAGAATATCTACACGAGCATCGCAGGAAGCTCCCGTCTTTTCTGAACAAAAGGTCTCCGTTTTAGGGTCAAGGTCTAGCTCCTTCACGGAGTCGGAGAACTCTGGCATAGGCCCTTGGAAAAGATTATTAGTGAGAGCAACCCTTGTGAGGGATTTCAACGACGTGAGAGAGCTCGGCACGGGGCCAGTGAGCTTGTTGTCTCGAAGATTGAGATCCCGGAGGCCTACCAACCCGGAGAAGTCAGGAAGCGGGCCAGAGAAGGAGTTGGAGTGAAGCCAAAGCTGCTCCAAAGCGGTCATATTCTTTACAACGGAGATGCCGCCGGAGAGGGAGTTTCCGCCGACCTGGTTGTTGAGCCAGAGTGAGCGAATGCCGGAACCAGCGAACGCGGCGGGTAACTGACCAGAAAGAAGGTTAAAGGCAAGCGCGAGGCAGTTTAGGCTTGGAAAAGAAGTTTCCAAGAAGTCGGGGATGGATCCCGAGACATTAGCGGAGTTGGCCGAGAAGTTCACGAGACCACCGGCGTCGCTTAGCGACGCCGGAATCTGCCATGGTTTAAACGGGTTATTGTCAAGGGACACGACTGTGAGGGAGTTAAGGCCGGAGAAGAAATCGGAGGGGATGGAGGAGAAGAGGTTATCATGAAGAAGCAAGACTTGCAGGGAGGAGAGGCCGTTAAAGGAGGGAAGATCCCCGGAGATCCTGTTATTCTGGAGCTCAAGTCGAGTGAGAGCAGTTAGATTTACAATCTCCGGAGGTAGGGTGCCAGCGAGGCTCTGGTTTCCGATCTGGATGGCGGTCACCCGGCTGCTGCTGCAGAGAACGCGGTGCCAGGAGGAGCAGGGATCAGTATCCGGCGACCACTTGAGAGCGATGTTAGCTCCTAACGCTCGCGCTACAGCGTGCATTGCCGCTGCATCGTCAGCTTGGGTCTGCGCCGCTGCGACGACGATCGCTGCTGCCGCCACAACGGCTAAGAGACAGGCTAACGCTCTCCCCATCAAGATGCGGTGTTCTGCTACAGGGTTGTCAAGCGCAGCAACTCTTGGAGGAGAAGATTAAGGGGCACTAGGGTTCCACCCGGCATTGATGGGCAAGTTAGAGTTTCGAAAAGATGCTAAGAAAGCATTTGGGGGCGGAAATACGGAAAGAGGAGGCGGAGAAGAAAGAGAGGGCGGAGGGAGGGAAGACGTGAGCACATGGAGATGCACATGGGGGTGGGCCCCGGCAGTATTATAGCAGTAGAAGTGGGGGCTAGCTGGATGAAGATCCTGAAAGAAATTTGTAACATAAATTCATTTATTTATTTACAAATTTAGTTTTTTTTTGTATTATATATGTTTATAAATTTGGCGGCTTGGCTCTCACGCTTTTTGACAAGACCGTTATATAGTGTACATTTATGAATGTTGTGGAGATATATTCCTAACAGCTTCACGAGATCCCTATATTAGGTCTCTAAATTTCAGCTTGCTTAAATTAAGAATCTAAGATTGAGTTCATCTTGTGGCCCTCAATTAGATCTCCTAAATTTGAGCATCTTAGATTTTTCTAGCTATTATGGTCTCCTCTAAAGATAGCTAGTAGTACTCGAGCAATGTGAGCCCTCTTATTGAAATATGTTCTTTATTTGTCTCCTTGATGGGCACCTTTCTCAATCTTTTGGTGCTTGCATATGGAGCAAAACCTTACTTTGTTTCTGCTCAGATTAATCTCTTGTTGATTATTTTTTTTTTTATTATGCACGTGATATTTGTGATAGATACAATATTTGATTGAGTCACATAAGTGACTTCAAGTTTGTATCGGTTAGTTTATGGAATCTTTTTTTTATATTCTATATGGTTTTGATAATTTCATTCATGGACGCTCTCAAAGGGGAAACTTTTGATGAAGGGAATCAAGATGGTTTGCCTTATTCTCTATCCTCCTTACAATCAGTCTGCAATCAGAATACTCCTACTCGGGTAGATGAATTCACCTTGTTGAGGTACGTTGAGAATTTATTCGGGTGAATTGATCGTGTTAACTGTTATTAGTCTTCAAATTGTTGCCTCTTGAATCTTCCTTTTGGTCCCTGAGTTTTGGAAGAGCTTTGAATTGTATTATCCAATATATGATTATTTTTTAACTCTAAGAGTTCAACTAAATTTTTTTGTATATGAAGATCAATAGTGTTTATGAATTGGCCCTCACACATGCCTTGGGTTAGAGCTGCTTGGGCTATTGATGGTTCTAGGTTTTTTATGCCCATCAACTCTCACTGGAATTTGGTGATGAGTCTCCTTAGACTTTCTAAAAACTCTCGTTGAATCTTCAGATTAGCTTGAGAGTTCTTCTGCTTCTGGAGCTACCAAACTGGGCTATATACATTCATTTAAACTCACTAAAGGTACGGATGACTCCAACATTCAAGTTCTTGAACCAAAGAAGGGTTGTCTCCATCAACGTCAGGAAGATTGAACAATCATCATGTCTTCAAACCGAGTGACTATGTGATTATAGCTTTTACTCGTGATTCCTAGCTATCTTTAAAGGGGATCAGGCCGAGAGGCGCCCCACAGGATTTAGGCATGAAACATTTTTTTTTGTGTGAAAGGGAAGAAAGGGCCCCGCCGCTTGCAGAGAGAGAGGGCCGACGAACGATGAGGGTCACCGAAGAGGAAGACGAGCATGCCACAAATGACGACGCGCGAGTGAGGGCTTTGGGTCGAGCGCAAAAGGCAAGCGACTTCGGCTGCGAACCAGGAGGGAATGATGGATGTTAGGAACCGCCAGCGTGAGGAGGAAGGGAGGATGTCAGCTGTTAGGTATGGCTCATATGTTAAATAAGGCACAGATCATGGAGCGGAGCAGAAACATCTGTCCAAATGGGGGAGTTTCATTAAGTGGGTTCGGGTTGCGGGGACATCGCCTTCGAGGTACGGTACATGGGAATTTTTGTAATTTCACTATATATATATATATATATA